TTTGATTATTCATTTTTTTACTACATCTGAAAGGTTCAGGATTTTCTCTTTCCTCCCTTCAAGTCTACCTGGTGGCCATGGTTGTACACCAACCAGTGTCTCACCCAATGACTACACTGACTCAACTGTCAAATGATAGCAATAGCAAGTACTCAGCACTTTCTAAGCAGTTTACAATGTGTAAGCCAATTGCCCCCAACAAGCTGGGTACTCATTTTACCAGCCTACGAAAGGATGGAAGGCTGAGTGGACCTTGGAGCCCTCCTCTAGGATCAAACTTACAATGTTGTGGCTGCAGTACCAGCATTTAACCACTGCACCACCAGACATCCTTATTGATTCCTCAAGGGACTGTCCCATCTTTACTCTGAGGCACTCTTACTTTACTCTGGCTCTGAGGCATCTCTCTTCCACAGCAGCTACCTGGGCTCAACAGTTCACCTTCATGAGACACTATTGTCTCGATTGCAGAGCCAGAGCAGATGCACATTTTGGCCTGGCAGTTCTTTCTTTAATGTTTGACTGACTCCTCCATGATAAGCTAGCTAATCATGCAATAATGTGAGGGGCAGAGACTACAATAAAGAAGAACAAGTTACTTACCTGTAATGATGGTTCTTCAAGTGGTCACACAAACTTGCCCTCCTCTTTTCTTTTCTTGCAAATTTGCCATCTATCACAACATACATGAGACTGAGGGGAATAGCCTCTTAGCACTATTTATACAGCTGCCATTGGGAGGGTGGGGCTACCGCCCAAAAAGCTACTCAGTTCTATAATATCCATGAATGGATCTGCACCTACATGAAACCTAGTTGTTTGAGGGCATATATGATCACTTAAAGAACCATAGTTACAGGTAAGCAACTTGTTCTTCCTTTGACTCCTCCATGTTACTTGCTTTTGATAAAAGAAGGTAGAGGAGACTGCTAGTAGAACTCTTTCTATTTTCTGCACTTGGCTCTTCCCAGTTGTTCTGGAACAATAGACCTCTTCTAGCCCCCATGTGGTCTACTTGCTTCTTCTCTGACTCTTTACCATTACATCGCACCACACTGTCCAAGATGCTGCCATCTGTGGCTCATTATTCTTAGATTTATTGATTTATTTAATATCTTTTGTATGTTGCCTTTCTCCCAGAAGGGACCCAAGGAAGCTCACATATAAAAAACATTTGGGAAAAAACCCATAAAAATTCAAAACAGTTAAAATATTTTTAGATTAGATTGGGACCCAACCAGTGTTCCCAAATTTTGTGAATTATTATTATCACAGCAGAAAGTGTAATTTGTATCATTGTCTTCAGGCTCCAAAATGTTTTTATCTTGGTTTCACTTCTAGAGGTTGAATGGAGGCATTGCTTTACTTTTATACAGTTCCCAGCCTTTTCAGCTCACTGCAGTTTCTGTTCCTCCTTCTACACACCTTACACCAGCCCCGAGCTTGCTTTCCCAGGTGAACAACTAGAATTAAGGATTCTAAATTCTTCCAGGATTATCCCTTTGAACAAAAGCACGACATATGCATTTAGAAAATGAATGACTACAGTAAAAACAGTATAAAACCATATAAAATATACAAAAATATACAAAAGCTAAAGGGCACAACCAAAACACACACTCCACACAAAAGCCACTCTGGCATAAACACTTGCTTAAATAAAAAAAAAATCTTAGCTTGCTGATGAAAGGCAAACAGAAATGTGGCCACCTGTGAAAGAGCATTTCAGAGGGCAGGAGCAGCCACCAAGAAGGCTCTCTCTCATGTCCTCACCAAGCGAGCCTGCGATGGTGGGGGGACTGAGAGAAAGCCTTTCCCCAAAATCTTAGTGTCCTGGCAGGTTCATATGGGGAGATACAGTTCTTCAAATAATCTGGACCTAAGCTTCCATTACAAGATTCTTCCTCCCTCCCTTCCCTTTGAATTGCTGCCCCACCCTCACCCCCTTGACCAAACTAAAATAATACATCCATATATTTTACCTTTTCCTTCTAGGGATGGTCCTCTGACCCTTGATACATTGGGTAGCACTTTTCCAGCTTTCCAGCTAAGAGCTTATGTGAGCTATAAGGACACTATGGACGTTATCACACGTGGGCCACAAAGCGATAATAAACTGGAAATGACAAATTCCGAAAATAAACCTTAATTCCGCAAATGGTTTTCACACGTAATTACCTTAATTGCGCAATTAAGGGAAGCTCCCACTGAAACTGCATTTAACGTTCACACACAAGTGAGAAAATACCGGGCATGTACTAGAAATGATCTTCTAGCACATGCACACTATCATGGCTGTCACTTGCCGTGGCTGTCACCCCTTCCCCAGACCGTCCTTGGAGCAGCAGGCCCTCCGCAAGGCCGGCGCTCTGAGGAGGACCTCCCGCTGCAGCATTCTCCGAGGAGGTCCTCCTCGGAGCACCGGCCATGCAGAGGGTCAGCGCTCCCAGGAGGTCCTCCTTCAAGGGTCGGCCGTGCGGAGGGACAGCGCTCCGAGGAGGTCCTCCTCGGAGGGTCGGCGCTCCGACGAGGTCCTCCTTGGAGAGTCAGCACTCCGAGGGGGTCCTCCTTGGAGCGCCGGCCATGCGGAGGGTCGGCGCTCCGAGGAGGTCCTCCTTGGAGGGTTGGTGCTCCGAGGAGGTCCTCCTTGGAGGGTCGGTGCTCCGAGGAGGTCCTCCTTGGAGGGTCAGCGCTCCGAGGACAACCTGGGGAAGGGGTTGGGGCGCCGATTGTGCGGCTGCCCCTCCCCTTCCCTGCCCCCAAGACGGATCAATTAAGCCGTCTGCTGAGGGGGAAGGAGATGCTTACGCTGCCTCCAGGACCCCGCGGAACCATGGGAAAATGCGGGGTAATGCTTCCAAATGCGCATTTGCTTTCCACATTACGGCGAATTTACTTTAATTGCGAAATTACCTTAATTGTGCATTTGCATTTTCTCCAAACAACCGAATTTCAAAAGATTGCGGTTAACATCAGTTTCTGTCCACTTTCTGTCCAGTTTCTGTGCAACATCGTGTGAAAACACGGGGCACTAATCCAGTTTCTGTTTGGGTTTTGTGTGGATTAACCAGCAGATTTGCCCCTGTGTGATAACGTCCTATGTGAACCTTTAGTTATACAGTCCACTCTTCCTTTCCCCTTGAATCTGGCCACTGCCCAGTTAAACACTATAACCAATTTCTTGGCTGACACAAGATTGCCATCTCCACGGCAGAGGGGAAAGACTCACATGAGTTGCTTCTCTGTTGTACAAACTGAGCAAGAGCTTCCTATGACCTCATAAATGAGGACTGGTAGAATTCTCCAACTGCAGGGAAAAATAAATCCTCCCCTCATTCAAACATTGGTAGAAGATTCAGGCAAAAGAACTGGGTGGGGTGGGGATGGGGATAGCTGTCACTAGCTAAAGGAGTGGGATGTGACTGACCCTGGTCCCTGCTTCCATCCTCCCTCCCTCCCGCCTTGGTCCAGCTTTTAGCCGCAGACTCTTCTGTTTACAGCAGCAGATCTGTGAGGACAGCTTTGTGGCCATCAGCTATCCTAGCAGATGGGTTGCTGCCAATGTTGTCTCTCTCAGTTTTTTTCCATGCTAGTGATTCTCTGACTGTGTGTGTATCTTTGAGAGAAAGAGAGGGAGACTCTGAAGCTGTGATATGAGTGCGATCACACCCTGCTACCTGCTGTTAATTCTATTAAGCCCAGGTAGGAGGGCATTGATAAAGCACTATTATCTTTCCTCTGTGGGATGTCAGGGCACGATATGTATTCATCACATCAGGAGATAACAGTACTCTCCTGAGAGCTAAAAGGGGTTTCTATGTCCTGGGGGACTATAGAAATAACAGTCATTAATTTCAGTTGCCTCTTGGTGTGTCTCCAGATTATTATAATTGCTTTACATTCATCTCCTGTGGGAAATGAAAGCTGGTCAACGTGTCATCTTTCACTGTATCAGGTTTGCTCATGAAAATGTGATAAGAGTGTGAGTGAGTGTGTGCAGTGGGGGAAACAATCTTTTGGAGGCCCACATGGTCCATCTCCAACTACAAATCTGCACATATTAGCAAGACAATAAAGATAATTCACTGATGGAAATTTTGCAGTCTGTGTAATATAAGCCAAGAGCCAGTGTGGAGTAGTTGTTTGAGCATTGGACTAGGACTCTGGAAACCAGGGTTTGAATCTTCTCATCCATGGAAATCCACTGGGTGACCTTGGGCAAGTCACATTTTCTCAGCCTCAGAGGATGGCAAAGGCAAATTCCTTTGCCAATGAAACCCAGTGATATGGTTTTCAGAAGCTGGAAAAGGCTTGAAGGCACACAGCAACAACAGCAACGACAACATGTAAGCTTGTAGACCAGAGGTGGAGATTCTGCACCCCTCCAGATGTTATTGCCCTGCCGCATCCAATAGTCCTAGCCAGCATGGCCTTTGGAGAAATCCATTGGGTGTTGCAGTCTAACAACCTCTAGAGGGCTGCTTGAGTCTCAGCTCTCTTACAGCACAGGGCCAAGTTTGCTTTTCAGTTGGTGAAGCACTTAACCAACCACTTGTAGCAAAAAGTGGTACACTGTCACACTGCCATGTGAGACAAGCTTTACTTCTTGACCCTCTGGGGAAATTGGAGGAATGAGCACAGCATAGTTTCTGGCTACAGGCTCTAACTACTAATGCTTCAGCCCTTTTACCTCATCTGGTCCATCAGGGGCCATGGTAGTAAAGATCTCTAGCCTGTCACCCCCAACTGCTTTCTCACCCCAAAGTCTCTCTGAGCTTGAAAGTTACCTTTTAAAAGCAGGTTGTTACAGTTGTAGTTCCAAGGCCCAAGAATGTAAGTTGTTGTTGTTGTGTGCCTTCAAGTCATTTCTGACTTACGGCGACTCTAAGGTGAGTCTATCATGGGTTCTTCATGGCAGGTTTCTTCAGAGGGAGTTTGGCATTGCCTTCCTCTAAGGCTGAGAGAGTGTGACTTGCCCAAGGTCACCCAGTACATTTTCATGGCAGAGCTGGGAATCGAACCCTGTTCTCCAGAGTCATAGCCCAATACTCATACCACCATGCCACGCTGGCTCTAAGTGTTAACAGTTATAGTGTCATTTTTAAAAAGTAAGTAAGTAGTTACCAATTACAATGCCATCTTTAAAAAGTAGCTCTTTATTGTCTCTCAGAAATCACTGCTATAGTTAAAGTAAAGCAACTTTTGGCTACAACCTGCTGGTAAAAAACACATTTTTGTTCTACCCACTACATCATTGCCTCAGGACCCTGCAAACAGAGCACCATGCATCAACAGAAAGCATAGCACAAGACAGCACTTGAACCATCTGATTCCCCTCTACCTTTTAACAAGGCCATTAATGAGGCCCATAAACTATAAAACTATAAATATAAAAGTAACTAATGAATTACTACCACAATGCCTCCCTGAAAAGGGTGGAAGTTGTCCCTTGTTAAGCTATTCCCCTAGTGAGGAGTGAAGTTATCCTCTGTTAAATTGTAGTATAATTGGAAGTTGACTAAAGTTATATCTTTGTTGCTGGAAGAAGGGATTTATTAACTCATTATTTTGTAACTGTGTATGTACCTTCAGGTTGCCTGTTGACTGATGGTGACTCCAAAGATTTCATGGGGTTTTCTTAGACAAGGAGTACTCAGAAGAAGTGGTTTTGCCAGTTCCTTCCTCTAAAATATAGCTTACAGTATCTGGGATTCCCTGGTAGTCTCTCTTCCAAGTACTAACCACGGTTGACCCTGCTTAACTTCCAAAATCAGAAAGAATCTGGTGCCTTTGTAACTAGTTACCTCCACACTTTCCATGCCTATCTGTTCTTTCCATACATTTAGGATCAATGAAAGGTGGCCAGAATTGGGCCATGCTGGTTCTTCATCTATCTGAAGCTCAAGAGGAGGATTTTAAAGTTTGCAGTGGGAGCAACATCCCCATCATACTCCCTCATCCTGCCTCTATCTTTTTCATACAGCTTCCCCAAGGTCTCCCTGCTTCTGCTTTCACGCAGCAGAGGGCAGTGCCTCCCCGCCTACGTTTTCTTGTCCTCCTTTTTGCAACTTTGTCCCAATTGAATGAGACTTAACTTTCCATTTAATTTGCTTCTCTAGGTTCCCTTGCCATTTAATTACATTTTCTAATTAAAAAAAGAGTCAAGCTTGGGGGAAAACACACAATAAAGTCAGGACCAGGAGTGCTGTGATAATTGTTCTAAGTACCAGGTTTTTCGGGGACGGCAGGAACAGAAGCGGCTGACGGAAGAGAATTGTTTTGATTCCATTCTCCCTGCTGTCCATTTCAATGAGTTTTTCCATGCTCCTGATGGCAGAGAGGGGAGATACAGAGGCCTGCCTCACAAGGTACAAATGTCTCCAGCCAGACTAGGGTTGCCAGTTCAGGATTATCTCAGTGGCCCTGAGGTTCCTGGGCCCAAACCTGAGACTTAGAGACAACTCTGCCGATGTCATAAACAGTTATACATTACATAGTTGCTCACATCAAAACCACCGAAATTCTGGACCATGCCAACAACTAACTACCTGGTCAGAATGCATAGGGAGGCCGTTGAAATCCACAGACACCTGGACAACAGTAAAAGAAAAGAAGAAATGCTGAAAGTTAAAAAGATTTGGCTACCAGTCCTGAAAAATACCAAAATCAAGACTCAAGACAAGTAAATGACCACTACCTAGACTTAAGGGGTTTCTCCACAGACAACGGATTACCAATTAAATAGACACAAATCCCTCTCACATATCTTTCACACAACACACTCCCAGCCTGAGCCATTCAGCATAGTACAATACACAAACTACTCCACCATTAACATGTAAAAACCACTTCCTTCCAAAACAAGGGTCCCACAGGTATATACTTCACACACTTCCATGCCTCCACTCTCTGAGGATGCCAGCCACAGCTGTAGGCAAAACATCAGGAATAAATTCTTCCAGAACATAGTGCGGAAAACCCACAGAAAACTGTGGATATTGTCCATGAAAGCCTTCGTGTTCACAGTTGCTCACAACTTGTCCTTTGACGATGCACACACATGAATGTACACACACACACACACAGAGAGTATATTTTCCTGTTTGGAAATGAAGACAGAAACCGTAGCTAAAGGATCTGTTCCCTGATCAAAGTGAATGAATTATTCCTTCTCACTTTGAGAGATGGGATAAATGATATTTAATCTAGCCTACTTTTGTCTAACCAGAAAGTTAAAGCAGACTGGAGGGTGAGCCTTGGCACTACAATGATTGTGAGACAAGGAGAAAGTAGATACACTCACCCCTCTACATTTTTGGCTTTAACTTTTTCAGATTTGATTATTTGTGGATGTTCTTTCTAAGAGTCTCTAGGTCTTCTAGCACAGTTCTGCCAGAAGTTGATTATAGAGTTATACTTGAGAACCTAGAGATTACTAGAAGAAACACTTCTCTAGGCATTTGTGGGTCCTCTAGCATGGTTCTGTGGTCAGTATCTGGCAGATATTGACCATAGAGTTGCACTGGAGGACCTAGAGATTCCCAGAAATGTGTTCTCTGAGGTTAAAAAAAAAGTTTTTTTATTTGCAATTTTTCAACTTTTATGGGGGTCCTGTGCCCCTAACCCTAGTGAATGTGGAGGATGCACTGTACATAGATCCCCTGGAGAGTCTTTGTAGGTTGCAACAACAAATCAGTGAAGTCTTGCAAATTGTAGCAAGTTGCTTTTCTGTTAGCTGAGCTGGAGATTTGCATATACCCCTTTTCTATTGTCTGGAACTGACCCCCCCCCCCCAAAAAAAACCCAAACTGGAGTTGTATCCTCATTTCCCACTTGGAGATGGGACATGAAAACTGGAGACTTGAAGCTAGGCCCTGAGTGCTGGCAACCTTAAACCATCCCCACAAGAATAAAACAGAACATAAGCGCATCCAGTAGCACCATTCAGCTGCTCCATGATCATTTCATGGTGGCCTATGCGGAAGAAATTCCTGGTCAGTTAAGCCTCATATTAACTACATTTGGGTGTTGTGGAAGACATTGTGGATTTCATATCTTTTGTAGCAATACCTGAAGACAAGGAACAAGATGGTACTCTCTGCCAAGTACATGTACAGAACTGACTAGACAGGCAGGCTTCACCAGTGGTAGGAGAAAATGTCCTCTTCCACATCTGAGGAGACAACTTCAGGGTGCTTAGGACAGGTTGCAGGGCACGCACAGACACACACACACACACACACACACACACATAGGTGAGTTTTTAAATAGAGAACAGTCTGGGAGTTAAAAAAAAGCATAATACTCAGGCTTTCTGCTGTCAGTTCCAGTGTGATGTTAGTCACCACTACTAATAAAGTAATTTCTAAAAACTCAATGACATTTACATTCAGTTTTTTTAAAATCTCATTTGGATATACTGGTTCACAACAGCTCTGTAATGTGCATTTTAGACCTTTCTATAATCTTGGACATTTTAATTGATTATGGGGAATGGGGACTTTAATCCAGGCAGATTAAAAGAAAACAAATTTGCACTGAGTGACTTTATCAGGGATATTTTTTTCCTGGCCCCATAGGAATGCCCTATGTTCAGAGCAGTTTTTCAGGCTACAAAATAAAGATTATTACACAATATCCAAATACCCAGAGTCAGCAAGCATCATCATGTTGATATGAGAGGGAGTAGCTGTTGGCCCGCCTTTTTAATAAAAATAAATCAAAACAAAAACTCGTAACCAGCACAATCTTTCTGTCTTAAAAATAGGACAATTTTTGTATTGTAAAAAATAAGCACGGCTGTACATGGGAGCTGGCTGAAATTCAGAAACATTCTTTATAACTCTTCAGGTGACAGTATAGTAAAACACCTCACCTTGTCAGTCTACTTCTGTGTACATTCTGCAACAAAGGGTGACTTGATCTCTGAACAAGAAAAATGTCTCCGGAAGTCCCAGGTTTTGTTCCTGTACAAACCAATTTTATTTTAGACATCTACATGATGTTTTCCTCATTCCAAAGTACTCCCAGGGGACTCCTGGCATTGCAAACAACTTTTATTCTCTCTCTCCAGGTCAGTTTAAACTAACCCACTATTTGCCGAAATGCAGTGTACATCTCCATGGCTGTCTCTTTGCATTACACCACAAATAAGATGACTGCCACCAAGAAACATAGGCAGTTTTTTCAGGACCCAGATTCATCAGAGGGAAAGAAGAATGCTAACAGTAAATGAAAGTGATCCTAATGTAAAACTGTATTGCTAAAGCATGTTAGCACTTTATAAGTCCTGAATAATAAAAAGGGCTCAGTGGAGGGCTAGGGGACTATATTAGCCCTCCAGGCATACTTGGAGGTCCCTCCCACCGCCCCTACCCCAATAACAATAACAACAACAACCAACACATTTTTATGAACCTAAATGCTCTCTAGGGTAAATGTTTTGGCATGTTTTGTGGCCTTAATATCCCCCTAGAAAAGGAGTTGGCAACCTTTGTTGCTGGGGGGCCGGGCGGGGGAAATGGTGCAGGGGCCGGGTGGGCGCACGTGCACTTGCCATTTTGGAACACCCCTGCACATGTGCACTGTCCAAATTCACCCGCTGCATGGGTGGGGGGCCTTGGGAATGCCCCCCGTGTGTGCACCATGTAAATTCACCTGGCACACGGGCAGGGGGGTTTCCCTGGGCCTTGGGAATGCCCCCCTGCACGTGCGCCATGCGAATTCACCCAGTGCACGGGTGGGGGGCCTTCCCTGGGCCTTGGGAACGCCCCCCCTGCATGTGCGCTGTGCGAATTTGCCCAGCACATGGGTGGGGGGCCTTGGGAACGCCCCCTGCATGTGCGCCATGTGAATTTGCTTGGCACACGGGCGAGGAGGCCTTCTCTGGGCCTTGGGAATGCCCCCCTGCCTGTGCGCTGGGCGAATTGTTTATTTAAATTATCTTCTAGTGCAGGGGTCAGCAATCTATGGCGCGTGGGCCGGGTGCAGCCTGCGGAGGCCTTGGGACCAGCCCATGGCGGGTCCCGCTGCCACCACTACCGCTGCACCACGCGCACCGTGCATGAGAGCA